TATGTTTACTTACCTTACCATGTGTCTCTCCCTTTGTTTCCCCCCACTATGCATGCAGTCCTAACTGTTTATAATTAAAAACTGTTTTCACTCTTACCTTTCCAGGGTCATCTTTAGAGCGAGGCACTTTGAGAAAACATTTGTTTAATGACAGATTGTGCCGTATTGAGTTCTGTGGGGGGAAACAAAGGGAGAGACACATGGTAAGGTAAGTAAACATATGAAAAATATTAAAATTACACAAAGAAGTCAGTAGTAAATGAGTGTGGAGAACATCACTGGCCAGAACAAGAACACACAACTTTCTGTTGCATTTATGTACCATCTTTTGCATTTATGTTAGTTTTAGTAATGCCTAATGTCGAACTTCTGCATCATCCTGTGATTTTAGATCTTATGGGAGCTTAATTAGTGTATAAACTCATCAGACAACCATATCTTTCAACATGTCCAACAAACTCCATTTGGGTTACACAGCATATCAAATTCCAGAGTGCCAAAAATAGGAACACGAAGGAATCCCACACTGGGATGGTTGCTGATAGCAGGGCCTGATATTAATTAATGCTCCAACAGCCTCCTGTGGGGGCTGGAAATAAATTATGTAGATCATTCTGAAAGTTAACTCATTACAGAGTTATAAGCTTCTCCATAGTGATGAACGGGAGGATTCATTTGGATGCCCGAATAGAAAGTAAAAGGTGGACCGAATTAGCCACACAAGTTGCATAAGAGATGGGCAGAACAGAGAGATCCACAGAACCAGCTGGACCCAGGCTAGCTGAATAATTACAACTAATAAATACAAGGGACGCACCGATCCACTTTTTAAATTTTTTTTACTTCCGATCCGATCCCAATACCTAAATCTGGATATTGGCCGATACGGATCCTGTTCCGATATAATCATGATCACTGATTTTATGAGGCTGTAATAATCTCCTCTCAAGTACAATTTGTACAAATATATACATGCATGTCCAAAAACGCAACTTAAGGTAAGTTTTATTAATGTTGGATAAGTTTTAAAGTTAGAATTAAATTATGCTAACACGAAACGTCTTTTTTTTTATTCCTACCTTTAAAGTAGATATTAAAGTGATTAATTTAAGTGATTCTTTGCTTAAAGTTTTTTTTTTTTTTTTTTTAAACAAGGGGGAGATACAATAATTTTTTTCCTTTTTTCTGCACTCTTCATTCAATGTTTTCTGCCAAAAATCTAAAAGCTTGTCAATCTATTTAAAAAAAGCCTGTGGTCACCAGGTTTGTAGGAAATGAGCTTGGTTTAGGTTTCAGGCTTTTGTGACTGATAAATTGAAATTCCAATAGAACTAATAACGACCTTTTTGGCTTTTCTATGGCTTTTGATTTTTTAGCGAGTCAAATCGGTTCTTCTCATCCTAAGCATTTCATTGTACTGTTAACATTGTGTTAACCTTGCATGACAAATAAACAACTTGAACTTGAACCAGGCTATTATTCTGTCACAGGTTGGGAAATGAGATTTTCAGTGACACACCCTTTTTAATATACACCTTTAAAATATTCACTTTAAATAGATCCAACAATCATCAATCAAAACAATGTTTACTTCGTTTAAAATGGCTGCCCTTGAATTTATTGAAGATTTTACAGAAAAACAATGAAGCAAAAATGTATACACTTTTGCCCCACTGTACTTCTACAGTAGTATCTACAGTTCATCCATCCTTCTGTCCGTATGTCCATATAAAGTAAGCAACAGAAATACATTTCAACCACATAAACTGCTTCCTTCCATCACAAAAAAAGCAAGAAAAACAATGGACAATCTAAGAAACAGACTTTCACAAGTCGTATGGAAGCAGGCTGCGTTACACCTACACTCAAGTCATTTAGGAGTCACAGTAAAGTTAACCGCTAACAAGATTTACATATACATATAAACAGCTTTTAATATATTTATTTGTGATGCTCAAATCATACATTTTAATTTGCAATAGGGAATAATATTCTTGTTTCACCCCACGGGGTCATAAGTAAAAAATAATAACTTTAGAAGAACACACCTCAAAAAGTATGCTTATATTGATGTTGTTGAAAAGGGAACATATTTTTAATTTTATTGTAATAAAGCAAATATCCAGCTAGTTTCCCGTTTTAGCAGCTGACTGGTTTATTGACTAACAGTTTTAGCTTTGTTCAAGTTATTACAACATTATTACAACAATATCAACCATTAAAGCCAACGCACCAGAACAAATGTATGGACACACCTCAGACCACAATACGTATCTTTGTGTGACACTGTTACCACAGCATTATAACTAGATAAGGAAGTGCACAAGCCTGCACTGTGATCAAGACTCTTATGTGGTCTGAATGTAATTAAGCCACAGGCACCTCACTTTTCTTCTAAGTGAGATTGTGCACAGCTGTGATTAAAAAAAAACCTAGCGTGCTGAATCAGATCTTAAACCTCATAGAAAGACTTGACAAATACATCTGCAGAGAGACAATAACACAAACCTGAGGGCAGTACAAGTTACTGATTAACCTCATTGTTGCACATTTGATGATGCTGGCTACTTTCAGGTAAATAGATTTACATCAACGTCAGGATTCTTTTTGCTAAAGCTTCAAAATACAGTACGATTATAAAAGCCTTGTGCTTTTAGTTACATTGCTTCCCTAGTATTGTCAGTTCAGCATGAGTTTATATAAATAAAACAATGTGTACAAATACTGTGGTTGTGTTATGTTGGTCAGTGACAAAGAGAAAAAAACAATTCTCAATTTGTGCTACTTTAAAGCCATGATAAATGTGCAATATTGTCTGAACAGGAAAGTTTTTGAAACAAGTTTTGCACTACACATAAAAATACTTTAAAACATTTTTTTGCACAGCCTGGGTCTAAGTGTGTGCCACTTAATGCCTGACAGAAAGAAGCAGTTGAACGTGCAAAGAAGTGGCTCTATTCATTAAGGGACCTCCACTAGGCCTAAATCATTGATACAGTCAAGCAGCCCTGGTCTGGTGCTGCATCAAAAGTTTACTTTTTAATGAACTCTGCCTGGCTGCTTTCATCCCTTCCTGTCAGTTCATGCACTCGCGTCACTCCATACCATGTACAGTTAAATCTTCCCATCACTAAAAACACGCTGAAGTGGAAATAGGTGTATGTGGATTAGTCGATGCCCAAAAAAATTAGAAAGGTAAAAATCCCAATGGGAGCATCACGCTGACAGTAACTAACTTGACAGACTATCCTGATGAATACAGTCTGTCAAATTGAGCATGCGTTTTGTTGAAAAGGGGCTTTAAGATTTTAATTTAAGCTCTACATTTAGCCATACAAGTCTGAATGAGGCCTTTACATTGAGACAAAATGCAAAAGAAAGGAAAATGAAGTAGGTGGAAGAAGTCGGAGGGTGTTAGCACTTGTACACAAAGTGATTTAGACAGAGCTCACTGTGGGAGTCCTGCCCAAGAGCCACCAAGCATCTACCTGCAACGCTCACAGAGCACTTCATGTTCGACTTCAGAACAAGCCTGTGAGTGTATGTCTATGTATGTGGGATGCAATGCCTCCTACACACCTAAAATAAAAGTGTGTGCGTGCACTTGAACATGACTCCTAACAAATGGCGGTGATTTAACGCACTGGGACAGCAGTGGAGGCGTAAGCAGCTCCACCCTTGCTGCCCCCCCATCGTGCTGAGAAGTGCAGCAGCTTTGGAGAAGGGCCGCCAGGGGAATGTAGGTCAAGCTGACCTCTGCACTCGGTGTGTCAAACGTTCAGAGTGAGCTAAAGGGACAGGCCGTGTCAGAGCCCTGCTCCTCACAGCTGGGGAAGAGGAGGCACCCTGGACACAAGGGCTGGGACCCAAGGAAGCAAACTCCACATGCTGCCTTTAAAGACATGAGTGTATACGTCATATACCAGTTATGACCTAGGAATGGACACCAGCAGCCAAGAGAGAGGAGGGCTCACACTGTGGTCTATTATGCATAAATCAATGCCACTGTAATTAACACCTTGTTAATTTCACACAATCTATTTGCAACTTCATGCCTTCAGAAAAAGCATAAAAAAATTATAAACAAAGGCTTTTATCAACTAACACTTTGTTTGTCATTTAGATGTGGGAAATATAACAGCAGTCACGAAAAGAACAGACTACAGGTCAAAATATAAAGTTTAGTTGAAGTATTCTGAGACCAAGAAGATGACTGAGAAGTGCTCTTCAACAGTTTAAACTGTGATGTTAAGGAAATGAAGTGCAGTTTGATTTGCAACCTTTGTGATCAAAGTGTTCTTTTGAGCATTGCAGAGTAAGACACCAGAGGAGCTGTTAAAAAAAAAAGAAGTTAAGTACAAATCATATCGGAAATGAATTTACTTTTTCAAAATAAGAACACAAAAGAAAACAGAAAAGATCCACAGTTCCAAGCCAAGAATAAAATGAAATGATGTGAAGGTGCATATTCCGCCACAGTATATCCAACACTTAACATTTGACCAAATCTTGTGTGAAAACAATATATTTTATCCTAATTCATGCTCAATAATCCAGCTAGAAAATCCAACAAAGTTAAGTCAGGGCTTCTGGATGGTTCTTTTTGGATCTGACTTAAATTTGTTGGATTTGTCTACCTGGATTATTGAACATGAATTAGGATATTTTGAACTACTTGGTCATGACTGCCTCAAAAGAGTTGGCAAGGGAGAAGGTGGACTCCAGAAACCATCTGGTACCATCCAACTGGTTGACCCACTTTGTGAAAGTGCTATTTATAAGACAGAGTTTGCTCTAGCTCCTCGGACTGATGAAGTCCTTTGGATGAAAGAAGAAACGTTTTAACAAAAATAAACCATCCACACCTGACTTAACTTTGTTGGATATACAATATTTGTATCCTAACAATGAAAGAAATTGCTCCATAGGAAGAAAAACAAAGAATGCAACGTTGGTCTTTTGTCAGATCTTCTCTATCTTGTACATCTTGTGTATTGTGAACAGGAGAGGAGTGTGTGACAAATCAGAAGAACCAGGGGAAACACTCCTGTACCATCTGTTGAACAATAGGACCTGCTTCTCTTACTGACCTGCCAGCAAGTTTGAATGATGAATGAATAAAATAAAAATGAGAAAGATGCTTCAGATGTTTAAAAACGTTTTGAAATTAGA